TGTCAACCCTGGGAGCTGGCTGTGTGACCGTTGGTAAGCCCTGTTTAGGGTTTAGGGTTTAGGGTTTTAGGGTTTAGGGTTTAGGGTTTGGGGTTTGGGGTTTAGGGTTTGGGGTTTAGGGTTTCTGCTTCATGTAACGATGTACTGTGCTCTACTGCGAAACTGCAAGCTATATTGCAGTTGGCACTGGACTGTAGCATGTTAACCTATACCATGCTACTCTTTCGAAGGTCTGAACCTCTGGGCCAGTTCCAGCACAACGTCGCGACAATCTGCCATGTCGGGTTCCTGGCGCTGTGTGAGTTGCGGGCTGAGGAGCTTGGAGATCAGAGATGAAGGGCATAGTCTTGAACAGTTTTGGCACGTAGGGTTTTTCAGGCTTGGTGGCCTTGCAATTTAGGTTGAGGAAAACTACCCGCGCCGGCACCTTTGTTTTCGATGCCGCCTGGAAAACCTCCAAGTCTTGACACTTTGGCAAGGTTGGTAAAGCATCTGCGAACTGCCAGGGGTCACTGGCATGGGTGAAAACAACTCCAACAGAGCACTGTGCCCATGACAAGGCTAACAACTTTGTTCTGATTTCAATGACACGTAACAAAAGCACAACTGTGCGAACACGTATTGCAGCAACAATGGAAGAAACTGTGATTACAAATCACACTGTCATATGCAGAATAAACAGTTGCTGCCTGTCAAGAACGATGACAACAATCGATAATCAATTGCGACAACCCTAATTAAACCCTAATCACTAAAGCTCAGAAACCCCTAAACCCTAAACCCTAAACCCTAAACCCTAAGCCTAGGACAACCCATGCCCCTCTCACAGCTCTTCGCGCGGATGTCGGAGGCGGGGTGTCCCGCGCTCAACCTCTTCGCCTGAGGCCGGGGGCGGAGCCATACGGTGGTTTCTGGCAATCAATTAGGGTTTAGGGTTTAGGGTTTAGGGTTTAGGGGGCTGGCCTAGATCTGTTCAAAACGGACTGGGTTCCAGGGAAAATGGATCAAAGCACTGGCATCTCATCCCAGCAGAAGCTTCGGGGACCCACCATGCCCCAGACCACTCACGGCGCAAGACATCTCCTGGACATACTGGGATCATGAAAAATCTGAGTCGTGCTGCGGGTCTTCTTGCCGCAGGCGCCCGCGGCAGAAACGATGGCCTGACTGCAAGGGTTTAGGCCTTAGGGTTCAAGGTTTAGGGTTTAGGGTTTAGGGCTTAGGGCTTTGGGTTTAGGATTAGGGTTTAGGGTTTAGGTTTTAGGCTCTACTCTGTCGGACCTTGTGTAAGAAACGGAGGCTACAGGGGGGCTACATGTCAGACTCAAAGTAGGTAGTGTAGGGGCCTTAATAACTAGAATAGGGTTTCGGGCCCAGTATACTATACTTATAATAAGGAGCCCCCAAAATAGTATGCATAATTGTTTAGGCCCCTATATTAAACCACCAAACCCTACTGGAAGTAGAGCCCGGCGGGTTACAGGTCAAACTTGAACTGGGCTTTGAAGTAACCAGGGAGACAACAGTATAGACTTTTGTTTCATAATGGCTCCTGTAAGGAACAGGTCCCAAAAGAAAGGATTAAAGTATGGTACTCCAAAGCCCAGTGAAGGATGTCAGAAACCTAAACCCTAAACCCTAAACCCTAAACCCTAAACCCTAAACCCTAAACCCTAAGCCCTAAAAGAAGATCTGGGCCTCGTAGACACAGTGGCCGGGCTCGGCAACCTGGCGGGCAGTCGGGCCGAAGGGTTTCAGGGGCTCCGGATTGAAGGCTCAGGCGTCGGGGTTGGGTGGTAATGTAGGGGTTTAGGGTTTAGGGTTTAGGGTTTAGGGTTTAGGGTTTAGGGTTTAGGGTTTAGGGTTTAGGGTTTAGGGTTTAGGGTTTAGGAGGGTTTGGGGGGTATATTATACAATAATTACAATAAGGAGCCCCCAAAACCCTATTCTAATTGTTAAGGCCGCTACATTAGGTTGTAGGGCGAAGCTCGTTCGGACGCGGCCTCAGGACAGCCAGGACCCCTTCGGACTTTCGGAAGAGACTTCACAGAATCCCTTGTGTGTAGATGTAGGGCCCTTCATAATTACCACTACGATTTTGGGGGATCCTTATTATATCTATAGTCCCCAAGACCCTGTTCTAACTTACTAAGGCCTAGATTAGATGTGCTGCTCAGGCGAGCCGACCCAGTGCTGCTTCCGAGATCTCTACTTAGACGTCCAAGGGACTTAGTAAGTAGGTTATAAGTAGAGTTTTAGGTACTCTACATGAAGTTACCGCAGTTATAACCATTATAACCGACTTACTAAGTCCCCTGAGCCTGAAAGGACCTTCCTGAGCGACCCCCGCGGCCCATCAGATACGTTCGTGCAATCTAGGGGCCTGAATAATTAGAAAAGGGCTTTGGGGCACATTATACTATAATCATAGATAATAAGGAAACCAAAACAGTATAGGTAATTATTGAGGCCCCTGTATTAGGAGGGTGCGGGTGATTTTCCAGACACAGATGCCGCATTGATTCTACTGAATCCCAAGACACAGAGAGCAGAGATTGATGCCTCGATGATCTTTGTTTCATCTGCGCACCTGTCACAGAAGCGATATTGAAAGTGCAACTTGGCTCAGCCACCCGTCCGACTGTGACATTCAAAGTGGGTGTGGGTGACAAAGCAGACCGGGAATCTCTGCACACAACGCATCGGGCGTTTATTGAAGCATTACAGTAAGGCCAGACTCTTGCTTCGTGCTAAACTCAAGGTTCTCTATACCAAGTTTGGCGGGTCGGGTCATACATGGACCGAAATACAGAAAGCTAAGCTTCCAATGGTGTGTCATGGCCTGACGTTTGACAACCCATGCACCTGAATTTCACTGTCAGCGACCGCGGCACTGATCCACAGCTCCTGATTCACTGCACCGACCCCGTGTATGGTTAGGGTCAGTTGGGCAGGCGATCTTCGCTGTGTAGGTGCAATCGAGGGCTGTGAATCGCACACCCTGCAATCTGTGTGGCGCCAAGCGTCTTGCCACCTTTGAACTCGATTTGCCGATGGCCCTTCCATCCAGACCAGGTGCCCAAGGAGACGTTGCCCTGAGGCAAGACATTCCAAGGAGGAATGAAGGTTGCAAGGAAAACAACCAGGAATTGAGTATGAAGGGAAAGAAGAAGCAGCGGCGGCCTTTGTATAGAAAGTACTAGCATGGTATGTGATCGTCCTTTCCACCATCGTTGTCATCATAGTCATAATCGCCCATGACATCGCTGTCACCACCGCAGTTGGTCCGAGCCATACTGTGAATCCCTGTCATCGAACAACAAATCGTAGCCGTCGTGGCAACTTTTCTGGTTCCCTGGTGGGGCCATGTTTTAAAATGATCATGCTTAATCCTTATTGGGTTGAATTGTAACAGAGATGTAATATTGTAGCTAACAAAGACTTAGTAAACCCTAAACCCTAAACCCTAAACCGTGGACTTAGTTTTAGGGTTGAGCCTGCAAGCGTTTGACTTCTCTCGCTTCGTTTCTCGAGCGCTGGGTCGGTCCATCGGTTTAGGGTTCAGGGTTTGGGTT